ACTAGTTGCTCTGTTCATTTCTCCATGCCTCTTCTTCACTTCAACTGCTGGCCTCCATTTGGCTTTCTCCACCCTCCAACAGCCACTGCAAACAAGGCGCGCTGCGATAGGCGACCGTCGGGCATACGCAACACGTGTCCCAACCAACGAAGCCTCTTGAGCTGGATTCGATGCGAAAGCGAGTTCTTGTTTGAGGTATTTCCAAACACCCGACGACTTACTTCTACGTTACTAACCCGCTCATTCCATCCCACTTAGCTAGACTACGTGAGCATCGATTGTCAAACACTGCTAATGATGGATATCTTCTGCCCGCAAGTTCATCTCACAACCGTACAGCTGAACTGATTATACAGTGGCGCAGCATACGCAACTGTTCAACTTCAGTGAAACGTCACGTCGCCGCCACAGGTGTTTAAGTCCTGCGTATGCTGCTTGAGCCCTGGAAATGCGGGCGGTTATCTCCTTTGATGCGCTACCGTCGTTGGTCACGCAGCTACCTAAGTACGAGAAGCAGTTAACCAGTCAGTAATGGAGGAGTTAATTTAATTTCAAAGGAGAATTCGTCTTGTGGATTGAAAATGGAGCGTGAAATGAGCTGAGAAGCATGCTTGCGTTCTACCCGTGAGGTCCCAGGTTCGATCCCCATTTGGGTAGATGGATTTGCACTACTGATGATACCAAGCCAGTTGGAAACAGCTGTACAGTACTTCCTACTTTTTCAGTTTATGCTTCATTTGGTATATACACTACGAATTTCCCTCTGAAATTAAATCAAATCATCCATACTCACCTTTCTTTTTGAACCTGTTCAAATCGTTTCATGTAAATTTGGTTGTTAAGGCTCAAAAAGGAATTTACCGGAAACATTTGTTCGCCTAAAATGTGTTTTTAATTAATAGGCATATTTTGTGATTTGAAATCTGGTAATCGTGCGTATGTGATAATGCCAATTTAATCGTATTCTGACCGGCCGGGCCTCATCGGAAGCCATTGTCTGTTTTGTACCGAGTAGGGAGTGTTGTGTGGACAATTGACAAAAAGCTGGGTTGCATAGACAGATATGGACCTATTGAATTGTGATTCTGTGCAGAACGTAACTCGCTGAAAACTATTCCTGACAAAATTGCATAACTAGCGTGTTTGGTGAGAGAATGGAGATCGATAGACCACTTGGACGACTTCCGAAACGTTCCATTAACTCTACTATTGAAAGTTATTCAGCAAAATCAGTTGTTTATCAGCTGATATGTACAGCTAAGATGAGTGTAAATCTAAGTCACCAATGGAAGAGCAGTTGTGTACAGAACAGTTTGTAGCTTGCACAGCGGGCAATATGCAACGTTGAATTATCACATGATAAAATGACTCGGTGAACTAAGGGTTTCACCCATGTGGCGTTCAAGCTTAAAGGCTAAACGTTGGTTGATTATTAAAATCACAAGAACGGTTAAGGGTGTTATTTCACCAATTTGATTGAATGTAATTGATCAGAGATAAACTGAAATCAATCTCGCACTATGCCTCTATGGTTTAGATGGTAAAAACTTCCATGCGATCATAGTTCTTTGAAAACACGAGTGGTTGAAATCTGCGTT